GCGAGAAAAGATATTGAACGAGCCTTTGGGGTCTTGAAGGCTAAGTGGCACATTCTAGATCGTCCGTCGAAATGTTATTCTCAGACAAAAATGAGGAATATCATGTACGCATGTATTATTCTTCATAATATGATCATAGAGGATAACGGGTCTGCGATTTGTCAATACAACCCGGACGAGGAGGTGCCTATGTACGAAGAAATCACCGAAGAAAAGAAACGACGCAACCGCCAAGAAATTCGAAGCCGAGAGATTCACAATGCACTAACGGCAGATTTGATCGAGCATATCTTTAGTCGTTCGAATAATTAGTGATTTTTTTGTACTGTTGTTTTTTTTATGTAATTTTTTTTAATGAATGTAATTTTTTTTAATGTTTTTTTATGAATGTAAGATTTTTTTATAATGAATTTAATTTTTTTATGCAATAGTGTCATTGCGATTCATTAAAATAATAAATTAATTTAAATTTATAAATTTAAATTTAGAAGATGTATATTTAAAAATGTAAAAAATGAAGGTTTGAAGCCCCAGTTTGAAGCCCGGGGCTTCAAAACCATTTCCAGTGAATTTTGGGTGTAAGTTAAAGCTGACGTGGCAGAGAGAGAAAGTTTGAAGCCCCGGTTTGAAGCCCCGGGGCTTCATGACCATTACCAGTGCTCTAAGGTGATATGAAAGTAAAAAGTAGTGATCTTATAATTTTTCTCTTATTGATTTTTTTACCACCTTTTTAAAAAATTAATGTCTTTTTCTCAAACAAGTCCCTTTTGGGTCAAGAATGGTATATATATAATTAGTGTTTGTGTTAAATGAAATTATTCTACTTTGGTTTATATCAATTTTTACATTAGTATGTATTTCTCCATCATTTCTAGTGTGATCAAATGTGAAACTAATCTACATTTTTGGATTGGGTTGTAGGAGGAGGTGTAAGAGGTTGTTCATAAAGGGTGAAAGGAATGGATCCATTGATGTTTTTATAGAGAATTTGCCAGGAATGCCAGACAACATCCATTATGATGGGGACCGCATCTTCTGGATTGGACTTGTCACGGTAAATAAGTTTACACATATTATTTTAAAACAAATTCACAATCAAGTGTAACATTATGCATAATAAGATACATACATTATTTATTCTTGAAAAAAACATAGGCTTTTGTGTTTATTGTGTACTGTGACATTGTATTGCATAGGAATACAACTTGGGGTCGGAGATCATGCAAAAGATCCCATTGGTGAGGAAGGTTTTGGGAGTGATGGAGAAGTACAAAGTGCGGCCGAATATGGAAAGGAATGGAGGCGTTATCGCGGTGGACTTTGAAGGTAACCCGGTGGCTCATTACTACGACCGCCATTCCTTACTCATCACGACCGGAATCAAGATCGGGGATCATCTCTACTGTGGTTTCATTTCTTCTGAGTTCATACTCAGGCTCAACCTCACTCATAATGTCACTACATTGGTCAAGGGATGAACAAAGAATGCCATATACACACATCACCATCTAGTTAATTTCTTTAAAAAAAATATATAAGATGAACTTCATCCTCGAGGGCCACCTTAGAACCAACCAGACGATTACACAAGAGAAGGTAAATTAAGATTTAATCACATAAATGGTGATACTTTATAACCCATTACCTTGTTTGTTAGTTGAGCCACGTCCTCAGTTGCAGTTAATTTCTGAATGTGGGAGAATTGGCACTTCCTCATACCAAGTATAGTAGGCGCCACGCCAATACATAGTTTCACTTATTTGTATATTCCTTTGCTTTATACCGAGTGTAGTACTTTGTGTTCCTTTGTAGTTGTACCAAAATACCAAATACTCTTTTTGTCTTAAATCTCTTTCCAATTTGTTCTTTTTTTTCTAATTGGTCTTACTACTATACGATCGTAAATAAACACGAGTATCGCTTTAAATGTAAAAAAATGTGATATACCAAAAATAAATCTTAAGTGAATTCAATAATATCAAATTTATATTACAACTAAATATACTATTATCATAATTTATGCTCAATGTATGGGTTGGGATTCTCTGTCGTCCCTTCCCTCTCGTCCTAATTCTTTGTCCCCGTACTCATATTTTGGCAAATCATCTACCCCATCCACCCCAATACTCACCCCTACACATGTGCATATGCCCCCTCCTATCTCACCACCGTCAAAGGTGGGTTCGTATTAATTTAAGGGTGGGGTGGATAATATATCAAAAGATGAGTGGGGGGACAACGAATTGGGACAAAGAGAAGTGACAAAGAATTCCAACCCTCAATGGATGTTACATTTTGATAAAAAAAAATATCAAACCACGGAGTATGAAATATTTTTTGGGAACACAGAGATTATATATATAATCTTTATACGCTATATAATGTCTATATACACAGCATACACAATCGTGTCCCACCGTACAACCATAACCATTAACTTTGTTGTTCTGCACATAGTCTTTGTCTTTAAATAATTTCATATTTATTTGTTATTTATAAGATCAAATTATACTATCCTTTTTATTTTTATAATTTAATTGCTTATTACAAAAAAAAATAGTCCTGTCATCACATATGAGTTTTTTGAGATGGTAAAACTACACCTATAACTTTTCCTCAAATTTCACATTTTATTTGTCCTACATTTCAAATCAGCCCATCTCTAGCTTCTGTCTTGTGCTACGAAGCCCCAATTCCGATTCCCAGCCCCCACAGAATCCAAACCCTCCACAGCGAAGTTCAAGTACCGATGAAGAGGGGGCTTCGTGAATCATCAAATGCCTCTTTCTGAAACGGAACCAACGGAAAGAAGCTCTCTATCTTCTACAAATTGGCAGCAAGCTGCGAGAAGACGAAGGAGGGGACGACACTAGCAGCTTCTACTTCAATTTTAGTTCATCCTCTTCTATAGGTAACCCTAAAATTGTCTCCAGATTAAAATTGGGAGGCCATTCATTCAGATAGTTAAAAAAAAATTCTCAGTATTATGTAATTGTTTGATTTTGGTTCAATTTTTTTAAACTTTTGTTTGCTTGTTTGATTGAATTTGGGAATTCCTAAAGAGTGTGGTTGGTGTTCAATTTCTGGGTGTATCTTCTTCTTTGAATATTTATAATATGGTGGTCTAAGTTCTTATAATATGTTTAATGTTTGGCTTGGAGTGTTTGATCTTGCTTTAGTTTTGTTTTAGGTTTAGTGGTGTTCATAGGTTATCTTAGAATTTGAATTTGCTTATTCTTTTTTCAGTTAATGCTTTTTCCCCATATTATTTTAAATAAAGTTTTTATTTTATCAAACTCCCCTTTCATGTTATGTGTTTTAAGTTTTTATACTAAGTTTATAATATAAGATAGTGTTTATTATATATATATATATATATATATATATATATATATATATATATATATATATATATATAGTTTTATATACTAAGTATGTGTTTATTCAATTCTAAGATATTATTATAAGTTTTTGTTTTGTTAAGTTTCTATGTTTATTTGGGTAAATTTCATGAATGGTATACGAACTTTCAGCATTTTTTCATTTCGGTAATAAACTTTGAATCATATCATAAAAATATACCGACTTTCAAGATTCTTTCCTTTCGGTCCAATAATTCCAGGTAACTTATAGGTCACCAAGGCTAAATTGCAAATTCTCATATTTGAACCTTTTTATTTATGCCCATTTTTCTTCTCTTTCTCCCAGCTCCATTCCCTTGCCTTCTCTTCTTCTTCTTCCAACACCCCCCATTGTTTTTATATATTATTATTATAGTAATAGTAATAGTAATAATAATAAGCGGGGGGGGGGGGGGGGGGGG